AAACATATGACTTGGTGAAGCGTCCAAAAGGGAAGAAAGTCTTGAAGAGCAGGTGGTTGTTCAAGAACAAGAAAGATGGCCAAAAGCTAGTGAGACGGAAGGCAAGACTGGTGGTGAAGGGATGCCATCAGAAGAAAGGCATCGATTACGATGAAATTTTTGCACCAGTGGTGAAGATGACTTCCATTCGCATGATTTTGGCACTAGCGGCTTGTTTGGATCTTGAGCTTGAGCAGCTTGATGTAAAAACTGCATTTTTACATGGTGATTTGGATGATGAGATTTACATGGAGCAGCCGGAAGGATTTGAAGTTAAAGGAAAAGAAAATTTTGTTTGCAAGTTGAAAAAGAGTCTTTATGGGCTTAAGCAAGCACCAAGGCAATGGTACCGTAAGTTTGATTCCTTCATGAGTAGTAATGGGTACAGGCGTACTACTGCAGATCTTTGTGTGCATTTTAGAAAGTTCTCTGATGATAACTTCATTATCCTTTGTTTGTATGTTGATGATATGTTGATAGTGGGACAAGATGTTGAGATGATTCGCAGGTTAAAAGAGGATATGTCAAAGTCCTTTGAAATGAAAGATTTGGGTAAGGCGAAGCAAATTCTTGGCATGGAAATTGTTCGTGATAGAAAAGCTGGTAAGCTTTGGCTCTCACAAGAGAAGTATATTGAACGGGTGCTTGAAAGGTTCAATATGAAGAATGCTAAGCCAGTTAATATACCACTTGCCAGTCATTTCAAGTTGAGCAAGCGTTCTTGTCCTAGTTCTGAGAAAGAGAAGGAAAACATGTCTCATATTCCTTATTCTTCTGCTGTTGGTTCATTGATGTACGCTGTGGTGTGTACAAGGCCAGATATTGCACATGCTGTTGGATTGGTTAGCAGATTCTTGGCTAATCCAGGCAAGGTTCACTGGGAAGCTGTAAAGTGGATCTTGAGATATTTGCGGGGCACCTCAAAATTGAGTTTGTGTTTTGGAGGCGGTGAGCCTATTCTTGAGGGATTTACAGATGCTGACATGGCTCGAGATCTTGATAACAGAAAGTCTACCTCAGGTTATTTGTTTACATTTGCAGGGGGAGCCATTTCATGGCAATCCAAGCTACAAAAGTGTGTAGCTTTGTCAACAACTGAGGCAGAGTATATAGCAGCAGTGGAAGCGGGCAAAGAGATGATTTGGTTGAAGCGTTTTCTTCAAGAGTTGGGATTGAAGCAAGGTGAGTATGTTGTGTTTTGCGATAGTCAAAGTGCTATAGATTTGAGCAAAAACACCATGTATCATGCTCGCACAAAGCATATTGATGTGAGGTATCATTGGTTGTGTGATATCATTGAAAAGCAACTAATGAAGTTGAAGAAGATTCACACAAACAAGAATGGTGCTGATATGTTGACAAAGGTGGTTCCCGGAAGCAAGCTTGAGTTTTGTTCCAAGCTTGCAGGTATGTCTTCTTGACGTGGTTTGTGTATGATCTTCCCTGAATCGGGCTGGAGGGGGAGATTGTTGTGGGTCCAGCCCATTTTCATTTGGGTTCCATTTTTTTCTTTGGTGGAGGGCCCAATTATGTTTTTACTTTGTTGACTAAAAAAAGAGAGTAAAAGGGCTGGGCAGTGGCAGTGCTTACGAACAGAGCAGAGAGAGCAAACAGAGAAAAAAAAACAGAATAGAGAGAGGAAAGGTGCTGGTGCAGAATTTACAGACCAGCCGCACAAATCCGATCATCGCCGGAGATCCGACCGTTGGATTGAGCTGAAATTTTCAGAGGTTGTTCCCAACACTTTGGGCTTCAATCTGTTCAAGTTTCACATTAGTCGGAGCTACGGATCTTCTGTAATCGCAGCTGGTGCGACGCTGCGTTTTTGGGTGTTTGGTTGGTTGTCTTGAAGTTGATCCTTGTAGGTGTCATATCCTACTTGTTGCTTCTCCCCCAACAGCACCTTCTTTCAAAATGGAAGAATTTGATGGGACCAAAGGAGTAAATGACATTCATAGGAGTGGGATTTAAATACTTTAATTGTAGAAAGGAGGCTGATATTTGTTGCTTGAAGACCATCTGTAATGGGGCTTGAATCGACTCGTCACGCCCTCGGCGTATTATGCATTCTGGTTCTTTGAGTTAAGTGCACCGTATACCCCCGAATTTTTTGAAAATTGCATGGTTTACTCCTGAACATTAAAAAGTGTACCAAATACCCCTGAATTCTTCAGAAATTGCACGGTTTACCCCTGAACAATAAAAATTGCACCAAATACCCCTGAACTCTTCGAAAATTGTAAGGTTTACTCCTGAACATTTAAATAAAGATGACAATTTTGGGTAAAGATATTTTGGAAAATTCACAAGGGTCAGATGAATGATATTCACAATTCTTGTGCGTGGAAGCAACGCCCTCTCTATCTAATAGTTTACGACCAACGATGCAACATTTTAATTTGTTCAAGGGTATTTGGTGCATTTTTAGTCTGCATGGGTAAATCGTGCAATTTTCGAAGAGTTCAAGGGTAATCGATGCACTTTTTAAAGTTCAGGGGTAAAACATGCAATTTCTAAAGAGTACGGGGTAAACTGTGCACTTAACTCTTCCCTCTTTTAGTTCTTTGATTGATAATTTATTACTATTATTTTATTTGTCAATTGAATATCAATTATTTTATTGTTGATGGAGAAAATAATAAAATATGATAAATATCTTTTGTTTGAATTAAAAAATGAAGGGGAGAGATATATTCTCTATGTAGATGTAATTCATAAAGGAAATTTGTTATCCTCTCCCTCTATTTTATCCCAATTTGGTTGTAATATATAATAAACTCCTTTCATCCCAAATTTAATTACAATTTTTCATTTACGAAGCATCCTCCACTTTTAAAAATAATTTATTCAAAAATAGTAAAAATTTACGGAGTATATATTAAAACACTACATCGGAAGTTATATATACAAAACAAGAGATGACAACCATATTTTATTTTATCAAATAATCAATAAAAAAGACCAATTATTATAAAGTTGTATCATTGTATCAGAGCGAAGGTTCTCAAAACCTAGCTATTCGTTTCTCGACTGAGCACATTGTCGGTCTCTACTCACGGCGGTCAACCGTAATATACCATGGCGTCACCGACCGATCTTGACGAGTGTGCCCAACAACCACCTTTTACCGGCGCCATGTTTTTGAGGAAAATTTACCATACATGTTTTCTAACAAGAGGTTTATCAACAAAAACAATTAAGAGAGAAATTATTTGACAATATAAAGTTGAAAAAAAATATTTTGGCAAATTTTTTTCTCGCTTTTAATTTTCATATTACTATTTATTCTGATATTTGGGGTGAAACATATCATATTTTGTCTTATATGAGTGTTACTTGTCATTAAATAGATAGTGATTGGATTATACATAAACGTGTTCTTGCATTTTGTGATTTCAATGAATCCCACACTAGTGATAATATTTTTCTTTTGTTTGAGTGTATCCTCCAAGAATAAAATTTACTTGATAAAGTATTTGCATTTGATTTTGATAATGCTACTAATAATACTGCTGTCATTACTTGACTTAGAGTTAAATTAATAAAACATTAATAAAACATTCTATGTAACTATTTTTCCATAATTTTTAATATAGTTTAAAATATTTATATTTTCCTGTTTTATCATGTAGATTAATAAACAAAAAAGTTATCTTATTCATATTAAAAAAATGAAGAAAAATAATGAGTGTGAATCGTAAAAATAGTGAGATGAAAAAAATAATTTATAAACTATAGTTATGAACATAACAGTTATAATAATAATAATAATAATAACCACATTAAAAATATATCATTTTTTGAGTAATTGGTTGGGGAGAAGAAAGAGTTTGAAAAAAATGAGAATAGTTTGAAGAAACTAGAAGGAACTGGAATAAACTGGAAAGAACTAGAAGAAACTGGAAGAAACTAGAAAAAATTGGAAGTTAAGAGTTTAAACTGTAAAGAACAGGCTCTTAATGTTGTTAACTAGTGCCAGTGAGACTGTCAAAGTGTGTTGTCATTTTTTGGTGACTTCAACAATGTTAATGTGACATATTGATATTTTTTCTTTTACAAAAATTTACCGAAAACATATTGGAGTATTTGTTTATAATATTATTTTTTAACTTATTTTATGGAAAAAATAGAAAAAAGAAACCATTTATTACGAGTATTTGATAATTACATTGCACACACCACATCATACAAACAATTTAAGGACTATAAGGAGCAACTTTAACATCATCAATAATCAAAACTCTAAAACACATTCACAACCCATTTAACATGTTTTGGGTTATTACATAGCAAAACTCTAGTTCCCAAAATACAACCACGCAATTCACAAGCAAAACATGACATTTTCTCTATGGTGTTGGGTTAAATGGATAATATTTGACACTTAGAGCTTATTCCTTAAGGTTGTAAAAAAGCTGAATATTGGAAAAATTGGAAAACTAGAAGTAACTAGATGAAATTAAAAAATATTATAAAAACACTCAAAAAAAGCTTCAAAAATTTATTTAAGTGTATTTCACATAGTATTCTTATTATGATTGTTATTGTTGTAGTTGTTGTGTTTATATTCATAATAATATGCTAGGAAAATGAATAAAATTCGCCGCTTGAATAGTGTACATGTCATTTAATTAGGGAAAGAGAGAGTAGTATAATTATTCTTTTTTAATTTAAAGTGTTGATCATTTTCCTAGGACAATTTAGATTTATAAAATATCTATAGTTTTTTGAACATAAACTAGACTCGTACCCGTGCGATGCACGGGCGGTAAAATAACTTATATTTAGTTTTGGTTTGCAATAAAATAAAATGAAAAAAAAGGATTACAAATTTTATTTTTATTGCCCAAAAAAGGTATTGTACATCAAGGATTGTAGTCAAAATGCAGTGTTATAAGTTTTGGAACACTTCTTTATAAACTACATAATTATAAACTAATTTCTCTTTACAATAAATTAAGGAAATATTGAATTTTCTATATTTACGATTTCGAATTGGATATAATACAAATGAAAATCGGATAAACGATTATTTAAACAGATGCATATTCGGATCAGAGTTTAAATGGATCGAATATTTTATATTAAAAAAGATGTAGAATTAAAATATAAAAATTACATATCTAAAATTATATCAAAAGATAAACAAAAGTAATGTGGACATGACTATATTGAATGAAATTTCAAAAACAAATAAAAAAGAAAGTGTTTGAAGTTCGACTGTGAGAATAGTACACATGCAATTTAATTTTAGTTTAGAACTAAATTATTTTCATATAATTCATCCATAGAATTTAACTTTTAAAATATATTTTTTATGTAATTAATATACAAAATATATTTTCATTTAATCATAAGTAAAATGTTGAAAATAGTTTACCGAAAAATTAAAACGGGACAAAAACTCATGAAGGGGCACAATAATAGTCCTCAAGCATTAGCCCACTTATTCTCCCAGCCCAACTTAATATACCGGCCCAACTTACTTTCCCGGACCAATATCCATTAATATAAAACCTATCTTCCTAACCCTACCCTTCACTTTCGCTCTTCTGCAGTTCCGCCACTAGGATCCCCTTTCTCCTCCTTCGTCTTCGTCTTCTCTCTTTGTCGCAATCTCTCCATCCGTAACTATGTCTCTCCCTCTCTCTCTCATATTTTATTTTCTGATTATTAAACTATTTGATTTCCATGTGCACTGATTCATTTCGTTGATTCTATTATTATTTTTTTTGAAATTGTTTTTTTGGATGATCTTGGGGTCCATTTTGATTTAATGTTTTTTCGTTAAGATGTGTTACAACACATCTTTAGATCATCCGATTTATATATATAATTTTCGGAAATATATATACATATAATTCTCTAAGTTCTATTTCAAATTTTTCATTAAGATGTTTTAAAATGCATATTTAGATCATCAGATATATATATATATATATATATATATATATATATATATATATATATATATATATATATATATGCGGTGATAAAAAATTAATATGCGTATACCATGTGTGTTATCATCTTCTAATTCAAACATCTTCTTAATTTAATATGCGTACACCATATGTGTTTATATATATATATATATATATATATATATATATATATATATATATATATATATATGGTCCAAACATCGGAGTGAGTGTCTAAATATAGGGTTGTGATGATATGCAAGGACTGAAATCCGTTATGGTGAATTTTTAGGATTTTAATGTTTGAGGCATCAAAGAAAATGAACGTATATTGGCATGGCGGAACGGAATTAACCTCCGTTGTTGCAGCCATGGCGATTTCGTTTCTTATATTGCCTCAAACTTAAACCCGGATTAAAAAATCTGAGCCTATATGGCTATATTGTAATTATTAAATAAATATATATATACACACACACACGTGGTGTACGTGCTATATAGAAGGAAACACCATTGTCTTTAACTTGCCATTGATGTGGAGGCCTAGATGCTCAATGAAAAATAGAAATATTGAATGAGAAATAGAAAATTGAGAACATGAGGAGTTGTGGTGTTGTTGAATCAGAGAATGACCTATTATTTATACTATCAGGATTTGTGAGATTGGTATGAGATATAATGGATGGATTTGACACAAAGTTACTTTTTCATCTACTTTATTGAGTCACTCAATTTTTTTTCCAATGCAACTTTATAGAACCACTAAAAGTAACTTTTTATCAAATCTAATTTATGGAGCCACTAAATTTTCTTCCCAATGCAACTTTATTGAAGAAATAAATTGATTAGACAAAAAGTAATCATTTTCGTACTTGAAGAAAATCATTCCAACTCTTTCCAAGAAATCTACTCACATTACCCAAGAAATTTGCCAAATAAAATTGACCAATTTTTGGCCCATGGACAGCAGCCCATTACCACGGATCCGGTCCAACACTTTTGGCGGGAACACTGTAGAAAAGTGTCTCACACCATTGTATAGATAAAGATTAGTATCATGTATACTTGGGAAGACTGGAAGAAATTGAAAAAAATTGGAAACAATTGAAAGAAACTAAAAAAATGAAAGGAACTAAAAGCAATTAGAAGAAAATCGGAATACTAGGAAAAACTAGAAAAATTGGAAGAAACTAGAAGTTGAGAGTTTAAGATTTAAAAAACAGGCTCTTAGTATACATGTACATCAAGGTAAAAACAGACGCACAATGACACTCAAGTGTCTGTGCATGTCTGTTTTTGCATTCGGTACACTAAGTGAGATTCCCCTAGCACTCCCTATATGACGCTTTTGTGATGTTGCCTGCTTATGTCCGTTCTTTTTGCCAAGTTGGATTGAGTGAGGATACTATACTATGTGATTCATGTGCCTCATCGTTAGTCTATGTTGCACGGCTTCTCTATCAATTTTCGATGTAAGTTTCTTTTAGCATATTTTTGTAGCTAAGATTTTTGTTTTATGATATAGACTAAAATCGTTGACTTTTTCTTTATGATTATTATAGATTTATTGTAAGTGTTTTGGTTATTGTGAAATACACATTGAATTGAGTTTTTAAGTTGTTGTAGGTGTTTGATTCTACAACGTCGTATACATATTATCAACTTGACGAGATTAGAGAATTCTGGGCTAGTAATTTTCTTGATGAATGATGATTTAGTTTAAGTTCAATGACTAAATTCCCCCCTCGAACCCTAAAATGAACTACCTTAATACTCTTTAAGGGCTATCCATAACTCTTAACATGAATCATAAATTGCCATTTGCATAACATATCTAAGTCACTCATCGTGATTACTTCAGACTTTCCGTTCACACATTGACCATCAATAAACTTTCCACCATGATTAAACAAAAACAAAAAAAATCATTTCTTTTTACACAAATGAACAAATTGAAAAAATACAACAAATCCCTAAACCAAACTTTGGAGAAGTATTGATATAGGGAAAAGTAACTTGCCTTCATTTCGAATATTAGTTTGGCTCTGAACAATCGAGCCTAGCATGATCGAATTCGAGCCTATGTGATCAAGGAAGACGAACGATCATTGTTGATGAGCTCAGTTGAAGGTTCTGATTCTTCGAAAGAGATGAAAAGGTTTTTCATGATTAGGGTTCAAGATGAACAGGGTTGACGATTACGTATTGTCGATCCCCTAATTCCTCTTTTTCTTATAAAAAACAGATATTCAATTTGGCTCAAATTTTAGTATAGGGACTAATTAGAACAATCATAAATAGTACATGAACTTCTACGGTACTTTGTCCCACTGCAAACCTACACCTATACCCTTCCTTGCCAAATGATGTTGAGTTGTCTTAGCTTCCTTTGTTTGCCGTAGGGTGTTTAGTGGAGATCACTTTCTTTTGGTACATAGGAAGAGAAGAAAATTGTCCTTTAGGTCAATGTTCCAGTTGAATATTTAGTCATCTATATAGCTAGATTCTAACAAACCAGAACACTCATTCAGGAAGTTATAAAACACCAACAAGAAACCGATAACAAAACATAACGAAACGAACCGATAAAACAAGCAGCACAGTCCCTAAGTTGCATTTTCCGATTTCGATACACATAAACCTTAAATCATGTCTTTTTCTTAACACAACATTTTCACAAACTTGGACATACAACACGAGTCCTGTAAAGAAGCGAATAAATTATGTGGGACTGGAGGGTTATATATTTATTTATTTATTTATTTAACGGTGGTCACTTGCGAGTATCACTGGCTTTTCATTCAAAAATGCCACATTACTATTTGGAGCAGTTAGCAGATGATGGTCAATCTCCTCCTCCCCATCACTAACCTCGGTTAAAGATGACGCGCCGGATTCTGTATCCTCAGCTTCTGCAAACAATAAAACATCATCCACGTTTTTAACACTTCACGCGGATTGGTTCGACACAAACCCCCACCCCACACAAAAATAATTAAAGGGAAAGGCGAAAGAAATAAACATATAGGAGCACGAAGGTCCGAGTTTTCCACCATCACAAGAATACAAGGAGGAAAAGGTCCTTGAACGCTAAAAATAAGTTTGAAGACATTTTGCTTTCGCCGCAAGACAGGAAGGCGTAAGCCTCAAAACTCGATGCATATGCCTCATCGGTAAAAATGTAAAATATGCAATCCTTATAATATCCAAATTATTCATTTAAGAATGAAAATCATAAAATCCTAACACTATGTTAGGTTCGAAGAATTTGAAAGGAAAGGAAAAGAAAATGGTTTTCTTTCATTTTTCTAGCCAAAAATGAGAGGAATTTGGCGTTCCCTCCTTCTAGTACATTTTGTGTTCTCATATTCTTTTTCTTCTACTTTTCCTTTTCATTATTTTCCTTCTCATTTTCTTTTTTTCCCTTTCAAATTCCCTGAACGAAATATAGTGCAAATTTTAGGATTTTAGTATAGTCTAGAACTTACAATAATATTCCTAATAAAAAAATTGAACCTACCTAAAAGCATCCTAAATCTTTAATGAAAATCAAACCTAATACTAAACTATGTTTGAAAAATGGCCATTTGTGCATGTAACATACTCCGTAATATTATAGCCATAAGCCTTATATGCCTTAACACGAACACCTCGGTAGCTTTTTGAAACTCTGTCCATATTCCATAAACAGTCTTAAACACAGCTAGCTCAAAAAGAAAGTGATAGTAAGAGATGTCGAATGATTTCTAACTTGGATTACCACTTTCACCTTATTGATAATAACTAACCTGAACATGCTTGTTGAACTTCAGGAGGATGTTGGACAGCTGTGACCTGAATATTTTCTGGTAACAGACAATTGCAGAAGGAGCCTAAAACATTAATGATTAACAATGTAAGATAAAAGAAGTGTGGAAACTTAGAAACATATATGAATAGCCTAAATAGGTGCTACTTTATATATGACCTGGGGCCAATTACACATTTATCCAAACTAAAGCATATATGAGTTTGAGAATGTACTATATAGATTTGTAATATGGGTACCTACTAGCTAGATCAATATGACAGAAAAAACATACGGAGTACCAGCAAAAGCAAAAAAAAAGCTATAGCAGACACTCAATTCCTCTAGAATCGAGTGTTAACATAAACCAATAGCAGGCATGCACACATGCATAAAAAAAACTATCCACCTAAAAAGATGGTGTTTATTACATCTATCTCCTAACGGTCATGTCAAGATTTCTGAAAATTACTAGCCCCAAGGTAAACACCTTACTTTCCTATTTGGGCCGTTCAAAAATACAATTCAGATTCCCTTTAAGCAAAGCATTAAATGGTTTCAATATTTCTCTCTCCTTTGCAAAAATCCCAACCACACAATTTAATCTTTTCTTAAACTTCGTGAAAAAGCAATCAGGAAGTTTATTTAAGACAGATGAAGTACAAATAAGCCCCTTAACAAGTAGGTTTTTTTTCCAAATAACCCTTGAAGATGATAGGAAATAATGATATTCTTTTTAATATCATTATACAAAGTATTCTATAACCTTTCAATGTTAAAGGGTTGTTTGCAGGAAATATGATTGGTCAGGGGGCTTATTTGTAATTTTCAGGAACTTTAACAATTAGTAACTTAACATAACTTTGGGATAGAGATGTACTTAACCCAAAATAAGATTAAAAAGGCAAGCAAAATTATTTCGTTCTTACCAACACGTGCCAGACGATTGACCCATCCAGGAATAGGTTTTCCAGTAAGATGCATACATACTTCATCAGTAAAATGGTTGCAATTCTTGGCAATTAAATGATACGAATCTCCATGATACTTTCTAGAAAGTTGCACCATAAATGAACGAACTTCTGAAGGAGACTTGTCAGTACTGCCGAGCAGTATAGACCGTCTAAAGGTGAAACCTGGGCAACATCGTGGTTCAACCTCAAAAACTCCACTACTTGAGTACTCATGGGCTCCATATCCATATTCTAGCCCGTGAACTGTGTCAAATAGAGAGCATAATATCACAGATATATCAAAGATAGAAAGCATCAATATCAATATCATTATGTTCCATGTTAAAGTTATACTTTTAGTCTCTGTATAGTTAAAATTGTTCAAGAACATTTTCAAAACATATATTTGCCCTTCCACAAAAATTACTCTGTTTTTCGGAAATAAGTATTATGACTCTAAAGATGAAAATTGACATTTAATATGGCAAAATGTTGAACGCGCACCAAATTACAATAAGAAAGTTGAGGTTTTGATGGTATAATAGCAGTGATGTTTTCAGTGAGTTACGGTTAAATTCAATGCTTAAAATAGATATAACAAGACATGAATAAATATTACTTGTGCAGTACTAAAAGGTAAGCTATGATCTTTCAGAGTTTCAATTAGTGCCAAGGTTTGAGGAAGAATGGGAATATATGATACTAGATGTGAACCGAACTGTATAAGACATGTGATTGCATTGGAGAAAGAGATGACAATGACTTTCAAAAGGGTAAGGATAACTTAACAATGTGGAAAATCCTGAAAAGGAAGACTTTGATACCTTCGATGCCGGAATGAAACACTCCAACGCCGAACCAGTAGAGGTAGTTGTTAATAGTTGTGAGATCGTAGACGTTTAGGTACAGCAAAGCACGACTTCTCTCTTCATCGCTGTGCAACTCCTTGGATGAACTGGAGCTTACTGGAAATAGTCTCATCCTATCTAAAATCACTCAAGCCGCAGCCAAACCTCTCAATATTTCAAAAATCTCCAAGCTCAATACCCAAAAAGTTCAAATTGAATAAAAGAAGTCCATAGCAATAAACTGCACAGCCAAATTTCGAAAATGGAAAAAGTAAAAAAAATGAATTTCCAGAACATTTTACCTGTTCTATAATTATAATCGGTTCTAATGAATCAGGAATCTCAGTTAGACGGAAGAAGAAATTAAGCGGAAAATGTAAGGATCGAGCTGCTAGGTTAATGGGAATTCAAATCTTCAGCTCAATCTTTTGATTTATATGAATGTAACAATAGAAAAAAGAGCATTAGCAAGGGGAAACGAGATTACCGAGATTTATAGGATGCGAATATGCTACAGGTGATATTGAGAAAAGGGAGAAAAGCGCCGCCGGGGATGGAGGATCACGGAGGCGCGTGGAGTATCCACGGCGGTGTTGTGACGATAATAGCGATGGTTAACCCGTCAAGCTATACACTTCTCGGAGATACTTGCTGGGGTTCCCATCGCCACGGTCCATGACCAAATACTCCGTATTCTCTTTGTTTTAACTAAAAACTAAAAATCATAATATGACTTGAGAGTAAATTTGTTACTATGTTAAAAATATAAAAAAAAACTTTCGGGTACTTTCGATTTTTCGAAAATAACGCTCAAGTCTTACATTATTTGAAATATATTTCAGAGTAATCTTAATTTTTTGATAAAAAGTTTCAGGTCTCACATTATCCGAAATACGCTCTGGGTCCTTAAAATTTGTGATATTATATTCCAAGGGTACATTCTCTCCATTCAGGTGTAATGGTGTGTTTGGTTGGGCGTAAAATATTTTCCAGGAAAATTTTGATTCCATTTTCCTGTGTTTGGTGACATTAGTGGAAGGAAAATATTTTCCTACCAAACAATGAAAAATATGATTGAAGAATAATTTTCCTTGGAATTATTTTCCTTTGGAAAATATTCTTCATAGAAAATATTTTACCCCCAACTAAAATTCTTTTACTTTGAGAAATTAAAAAATTTTATTTAAATTTAATAAAATAATGATTATTAATGTAAAATTTAGTATTTGTAAAAGTAAGAGAACTTTAATCATAACGGCTAAATAGACGGAATGTATTCTCTAGGTACATTACCATAAATTTTAAAGACCCTCAGAGTATATTTTGGATAATGTAGAACCTGAGAGTTCTTACCTGAAAATCATGGGTAGCCCAGAGTATATTTAAAATAATGTAAGATCTGAAAGTTATTATCGAAAAATCAAGGATAGCTTGAAGTAGTTTTCTGTGAAAAATGGTGCGAATTCTTAAAATAATCTTTTTCTCCCCACACACATACAAGATTTTATTAAAATGATAGAAAAAAATTAAAAAAAAAAGTAACAATGAACCTAGGGGTACCAAAATGGTATACCTCGTTTGTATATATTAGACAAACACAGACACTAAAGTATACTCCTAGCATGGCCCAAAGAGTAATACTCTCTATGTGCTAAAATAAATTTTTAATTATTTACAGTGTTGAACACTTGAACCATATAATTTTTCTTTACCTATTCACTTTCATGATTTTTCAAAAACAAAAAAGTTATGTCACGTTTGTTTTATACAGAGTAGTATTCTTGTACATTTTAAACACAAATATTTTATTTCTTTGTTTGACTAATGGTCAAATAAAGTAAATAAAAAAGAATTAGGATAAATCATAAAAACACAAACACAAAAATTTAATAAAGGAGAGAAAATACAAGTATGCAACATTTGAATAATCTTTTATTCTTTTTCAGAAATATTTATATCTTCCCTACCAAAACCCAACAAACATTCATCCAAACATACCCTAATAACTTGACAAGATTTCATCGAAATATAGTTGATGGCATTTTGGACATCTTTTAGAACGAAATAGGTCATAAACAAGTCACAAATGGTTTATATTTTTGAGTAAATTCTCAAAATAGTCTTTTTTAATAAGTTGTTTACCCAATTTAGTCCTCAATAAATTTTAATTACCTACATGGTCCTCTATAATTGAGACTTATTCCCAAAATAGTCTTTCGTAAATAATGTTACTCAAATGATGATTAATTGGGAGATATTTTGGTATTTTGATCATCCAAATTTAAAATATATTCTCGAAACAGTTATTTCTGTACAACTAAATGTAAAATTGAAAAAATACATTGACTATAAATAATTCATGAATTATTTAAAACTTATAAAAAATATCTTTTAAATTTCAAATCAAATACACATTTTTAATTAGAAAAAACCATTTTGGGAAAGTACTTCTTTATAAATGATCATTTTAAGAATTAATTCTAAATTTAACGAATAAAAAATACCAAAATACCTCCAATTAATCCTCATCTGAGTAACATTATTTACGAAGAACCATCTTGGGAATAAATTTTAATTATAGAGGACCACGTCGGTAATTAAAACTTATTGAGGACTGATTTGGAAAAACACCTTATTACAAAAGACTATTTTGGAAATTTACTCTATATTTTATATATAAACAACCGATAATCATTTGTGTTCATTGAGAGTGGTAATCATTTATGTATGTATAAATTATGTGTCATCAGTGGAAGCATCCATAATGAGTTCCTAGCATTTTTTATTAGATGAATCACATCATAATAAGTGTGAGATTTGAGGAAAGGTTAAGGCAGCATTATGTTCAACATATTTTTTCAGCATATATATCTTATTCTTATTATAATCAGATCAGATCAGACCAGATCGAGAACAGTTTTAATTATAACTGCAATCAGACCAGACCAGATCAAACCAGATCAAATCAGATCTTCAAAAAATCTGATCGGATTAGGCAAATGAAACGCAGAATATGTTAGAGCAAAGATAAGATGATCTCTCATGGTACTAAACTGTCCATTTATGTACATATACAAGCACCATGAAGCTCTATTAGCATAGATGAATTTACACATATATACATCGTACAGGGGCTGCTCCCTTGTTTTGACATAAGGCCAATGTCATACGATGACATTGGCAGAGATATAAAAATTGATGATTTCAACCCTCCTGACCATCCCGTTAAACCATCAACGTGCCTCGGCCCCAATGTACCCCCAAAATCAACAAATTTTTTAGGGTTTAGTTTGAGGGGGGTTTACTGGCGGTTAGCAGGGGTAAGAACCATAAATTTTTCGATCAGAACACCGTAGGTACTTGGTGTCATATTATGACATCACTTTTTGATGTCAAAAGAGGTGGGGTGTATAGACAGTTACACTATGCACTCTCAATGAGCCTGACAGTTGGAATTCGGATCTTCGACAGTGTTGAAATACAATGACGATAGTCTGCCATCGAACTTTGAGACGAGCTGATGGACCGAGAGCCCGCAGTAACGCTTCTTCAGCCGCTCCAAGCAAATGTCAATTATTTTCTTGAACATGCTGTCCGATTGTATCATCGGCTGCTCCACAAACTCAACGAGGGGCATCCACTGAAATGAACATAGCAAGTCTTGTTGAAATGTGTGTCACATATCAAATTCATACTAATGCAAAATTGTTAAGGAATCGGTTCAACCAAAATCTCAAGTTTTCATACTCTAATCGAACATGCTCTCTCGCGTGCATGTAACATTTGTTTTACAAAAGCCTTGGAGCAAAAAAACATTAATTGTTTAAAGCTGGGCGGGTGAGGTTCAGACTTGTGACATCTGAGTTAGCAAGACTAAAATACCATGTTAATGAACCAACTCAACCGAAACCTCGGAAAGATTTATATACTCTAAAGAAACGTCCCTTGGTAAGAGTAAATTGTCATCGAAATACCAAAATAGGAGCGCATTATTTTTATTTCAATGACAATGTGATAATAATATATAGAAAAGCAGTGTAAATAGTGGCAGTGTCGTGGCAGCGTGATGGTGGACCACCGGTCAACGGTGGGTCAACGCCGGTGACAGGGGGCAGCGCTCTGGTGGCAGTGTGGGAGTGGCAATGTAAACTCATGTTTAGGTTACAAAAAAGAGTACTATTTTGGTATTTTCATCATTTTTTACACCTATTAAGGTACTTCTCCCTATACTCTTAACAAAAATAACAAACCATTGCTTTTTAGGCATCATTTGCATTTCACTTTTTAGTACGATATCAACTGAAAGAGTAAATACAGATTTTGGTAGAAAGCATCGCGGGAAGTTTTATTGTACAGAGAATGGATTTTACCTGTGCAGCGTGAATCTCATGATCGTCAACAATGATCTGTTCCGAAAGAGGCCTTAACATACAGACAAAGAACAAATCGGATTTCTGAAACGCCACATTATGAGCATGCCTGTAGTAGTAGTAGTAGAAGTAGAAATTACAAAATTAAAAACAAATGGTCCATGCTGTTCATTGTTTAAGTAAAAAGATTTATTTGAATTGAACATTGATTTCTCCAAGAGGAAATACAATGATGTGAGAAAATATTTACCTAAAAGCTACAACTTCCACAAATTCAGTGTCAATCTGAAAAACAAGAACACCCAAAACCATGAGTGGCATGACGTAATAGACATTTTTTTAAATTTAAATTTCATTTAACGTAATTTTTCTTACTCCTGTTTCCTCCTTTATTTCTCTCACAACTCCGGTATAGATCTCCTCAGACTGATTAACCAACAAAAAAAGAACGAATTGAGATATGTTGGTTTTCAAGTTTCAGTCTCCTCAACAAAGTGTCGTACCTCAAGAATACAGCCGGTGGGTATTTTCCAAAGGCCAAAAAGCTCTGGAGCGCAGTGTTTCTCTTGAACAACGAGCACCTGAACGGGCCTTATCAGTGTGTGTATTTCTAAAAAAAAAGTAAAGTGAGTCTACATATGAAGAAAAATGCTTGCAAAAAGGGCACCTCATTTTTGTCATTGATCACAAAACCCCCAACTCCAACTTGGTGAGAAGCATTAGAAGGAAGCATGGAAGGCCCTTGGGGTATCCAATACGTCATCATCAAATACCCTTTTTCCGCGTGATGGTATTCAAATCCTTCCTAACACAATAACATTTCAAAACAATAAAAAAAATTCCATACACATCTTGAAAGACAATGGTCCTGTTAAGTTTTACATTTTTAAAAAATCACCCTAAATAGGAGTAAAACATAGAGAAAGTTGACATGTGGCATTATATATTGGCATTCACAGTGTTTTTTGGTATTGTATGTTGACACTATTTGCATTGTAACTCCTATTTTGGGAATAAAAACATGAAACTCCTATTTTAGTACTTTCTCTAGATTTTACTCGCGGTTTGCCCTTTTTTCCTTCATTTTCGCGAACTACTTAATTGCAAACCAAAAGATTTAGATGTATACCTTCACAGCCACAGGGACCAAGTCAGATTTTTGTATTGGAAGCTTAAGCCAAACACCCTTCTTTCCCTATATATTTTCATCAAATAAGCATTTATTAGCACTTTCTATGAGACATGAAAATATGATAAACAAGGCACAACAACAACAACAAACCCAGTATAATCCCAATTTCATTGCGGTCTGGGGATTAAGATATACACATTCTAACCCATGTAGAAAAAAAGAGAATGTTTCCTTTAGGGTCTGTTTGGATGGAGGGAAGGGAAAACCTTACCATTCCTTTCCATTCCCTTCCATCCATCCCATCACATCCCCTCCAACCAAACATGCCCTTAGACCATTGACACATTGCTGCACTTACTGCCGAAAACTTCATTCAAAGTAAGAAGCAAGGAAAGTTTAAGATGTCATTTTAATTTAGTCCATTTTTTACCTGAAGCTAAAAAGAATAGTACAAAATGACTCTTTTAACTCCATTGGCAATGGACATGGATAAACAAGGCAATGGCTGAAAAGAAAAACCAGTAATTGCTAAGAAAAAAATATACCTTTAGTGTCCAATGTGAGAGAGAATCACGAAGCATAGAGGTAAATGTGTTTGGGTTGGATGGTAGTCTCTCTGGATTAACGAGTACTCCACCATACTCATCATCACAGGCATCAAGGACTCTAGTTTCCCTAAGGTACAAACTCGAACCCTTTTTCTCATTGACATGCCAAGGAAGCGCCTTGACGAACATTTGTTTTTCAGGAACTGTGCTAATGGCATCATGGGAAGTGTTCGAACACGAAGTCTTCAAAGAAATACCTGGAAAAATGATGCGAGTGATGTATTTGGATTAGCTGGACCAACTTTACCCTTCAAAAATCATAAAAATCGGGACAAAGAAGATTAAAAAAACCTGTATTCCTAACTTCGAAAATCGAGTGGTCATTTCAAATATTCCTTCCTCAAATACGATTGTTATTTTCATACTCTTTCCGTGCCAAGAAAAAGTTTTTGATTTAGTTTTACAATGTTGGCTGAATCTATTCCCGGTTCAGTGTATTTCAAAATTAGTGCAAAACTTGAGATCACGGGTACGAGTGGTGGAAGGAAGTAAGGAACCTCTTGCAAAAATGCAACAAAAGACACCACCGTGATGTCAACCTTCCCGCCCCGGGCCCACGCTTAGCGGGGATGCTTTGTGCACAGAGCTACCCTTTAAGAACCAAAATGTTTACTTTTCATGTAAATCAAATGGGAAACAAGATACACATGTGGTATTCTCTAAATTAGCCAACACCCCAAGCTACCCAGAGCTTCTTCTTCATCAATCACACTCTTACAAATATAATTAACCATACTTTAAGTGGCAAGAACTCAAACACATCAGAAATGCTTAAACTCTAGTAGAAATGTAATCTTAGAAAGTAATCGGAGGTTAGTATTTTGTCTGATTGTGCTTTGTTGATTAAAGCACTCAATAATCCATCGAGCAGAAACACCTCGTATTTGGGTGCCATTGAAGGTGACTGTAGAGGTTTAGCTAGCTCTTTTATTTCTTTGAAGTTTTTCTACATTCCTAGAACCTTAAATTGTATTGCTCATGCTCTTGCGAGAGAGGCTGGGGCGAGGACTAATGAGTGGTGGAATTCCCCCCCCTGACTTTGTTTCTCATTTGATTTGATGAATGACAGTCTCTTTTACTTCAAAAAAAAATGAATAAATACCCAATACTTTCCTCACAAGAAATTTCACAGAAATCATGAGAAGATGACCATAGCCAAAGCAATCTTTACCAATAGCAGATAGCCTATATATTACCTCTCCAAGAACAAAATCTGGGACTGCCTCTGAAGCCATCCATCAATTTGGAATCCACAAAGAAGCTTGAAAAAATTGCGGTCATCGTCTCTGAACAAACTGATGTTTATTGTAATCACGGAGTATCAATTATCAAACAACCTCAGCTCCAAATAAATTTCCTATGCAGTGATTCGCTCAATCTTTTGGAATCTGACAGGATATACAGAGACCCAAGTAAAATCTATCCCAACCTATATGCGACATGATAATGCTCCACTGTGAGATACTTTTGTATATTCGTGGTGACTAGTCAGTCATTCAGGCGGAGATTATCCATTTTTAGAACAAATGAACAATTGAATATTGGTTTTGTACTACTCGGTAATTGAGTATTCATTTTTTTAAACTCGGTTATACTAGGTAGTATTCTCCAACATTTAAAAATGAACATTCAATTACTCGAAAATGAATATTCAAAGGCATGTACGGGAAATATCATACATCATTACATCAGGATGTAAGGTATAGGTATTTCATGTGAAGCGACAATTGGGTGGAAATATTATACACAAGTGTTGGTACGTTAACAAAAATTTACATGGACACCAAGTGTTAGTGCATTAACAAAAATTAGTTTTACACCAACACAAAATGTCGATGCAAATCTGCGGTTTACAAAATGGGGTACAAAAGTTTGGGGTACAAATAGCTTTATCAATATAAGTATACTAAACATAAGTTTTCTGCAAGTACTAGATGCAGATTCCACTCTTTGTGATCGATCTACGATAAAAATCTAATTTATCTTCTCTCAAGGCAGGTCTGAACGGCCATTAGGAATAGGGCTCATCCTTCAGTTTTTATTGATTTTCTCACATTATAGAGAGTAAGGCTCTATTTGGTACACGGAATTCAAACTATGAAATTGGAATTAGGAACAACAATTCTAATTTTTTTTTGGTATCACAAAAATATGGGGATTTAGAATTGGTAGTGCCAAAAATGAATTAAAATTGGAGAATTCAATTCCATCCAAATCAATTTCATATAATTTCAACTTTTATTTGAATTCCAATTTCGTCATTTCATTCTACTAAAAGGATCTAAGTATTTTTATTTTAAACTCGACATCAGTAGGCGAATTTAAAGTCCATCCATCTAGAATTATTCTCAAACCTTCTTGAAAGCAACGTAAATACTTTTCTACTATTAAAATAAGCATTTTACAATTAAACTTTTAATTAATTTATTTCTGTGAGGAGGTTTAGCTTATATGGATCTTGTTGGTGATTTTAGTGTTATCAATTTATTTTGTGTAATTGGATTTACTTAGATCGGACAAGAATTTTAATAGACGTTGTCAAACGAGTTAGGAGGCGCGGAGTGCGCGATCGTTCAACAATATTACAAATTCACTGCGGGGGCTGGGGACGGCAGCCCCCGAGTAGCGGGGTCCAAGGGGCGGCAGCCCCTGGCGGGGTCCAAGGGGCAGAGCCTCTTCGGAGTTGAAAACGGTAAAGGACTCCAACGAGTGGATAACGTCGAAATTTACTCCAAAAGCCGCAGGAACTTCTCGCGCCTCTTCTCCGCGCGAACGTACGCGTACGTTTACGCGAACGATCATGTCCTATCAAGAAATTTTCGACTCTATAAAATAGAGTTTCATGGTTTGGATTGATAAGAGATTTTTTCGAGTGCTTGTTCTTGATTAACGTCTTATCCGATTGAAGCGTTTCATACGTTATTCGTTATACTATCGATTTCTTCGTTTAACACTGCTTCGCAGTGTTCTTCCTCATTGAAATCCAACAGATCTAACATCAATGGTAGAAACATTCATCACACACTGTTAAAGTGCATCCCACATCGAAAGTGCAAGAGTAAAATAATCAGTATATAGGCTCTTGAGTTGAACTAACTAATCGATTGGATTGACCCAAGTGTCTTATTACCCAATCCAGTTGTTCATACACATCCTAAATTTTAATCTAGTTGTTCATACTCAGGTCGTGCATCGTCAGCAGTGGAGTCCCACCGGGTTTACAGCCTAACAATCCCGCTTCTTGTAGAATCTCCAAAGCATACTTGCGTTGACTTAAGACCATATCGGAAGGAGAACAAGAACATTCAATACCCAAAAAATATTTGATGGGTCCTAAGTCCTTAAGCTGAAAACACCGATCTAAGTATCGTTTGAAAGAAGCACACATGGAAGAATTATTGCCTGCAACCAAGACGTCACCCACATACACTATGCTTCAAACCACAGTGACGAAGAGCTGTGCTAAGCTTATGAAACCAGTTTCGAGGAAACTGACGGAAACCAAAATATTTGCGAAGACGACATACTTTTCTCGGAATAGAAAAATAGGTGGTAAACGCATGTAAACTTCCTCAATTAAATCGCCATTCAAGAAAGCATTATTAACATCCAGTTAATGTATCTCTCAGCCCCAAGCCACAGCAACAGATAAGAGAATATATACGTACCGTTCCAATTTTGGCTACAAGAGCAAAAGTGTCCGTATAATCCGTACCGAACTCCTGGGCCACAACCACAAGCTTGAGCTTTTGGTTGAATTGGTTCCTTAGCATGGTATTGGAGCCTTGTTGGCTAAGAGGTCACGGGTTCAAAACTCAGCGCCACCCAGTTTTAAGAAAATTAAAGTTGCACGTGCAAGGCTCGAAAAAACTATGCCTCCACGTGAGGAGGCGTGTTTGAAATATAAATAACTCCTCTTGGTCCACAACCACAAGCTTATTGATTGAATTGGTTCCTTGACACACACTTATTGATTCAGTTACTCTTACACACTACTACAAAAACGACCAAATAATAACCACATTTGCATCGGTCCGCGAAACAAACGATTTAAATGAAAAAAAAACGCATATTGGTAAGAATTTGAATCGGTTAAACGTAATAACCGATTCAAATAGTTATTTGAATCGGTTATTTCAAAACACGAGTATACTTCAACAATACTTATAAACGAATACAAAGATATACGCCTTCCGCTTTTTAAAATACGAGTAGTTTTTTTTCAAAACACTTCTGCTTTTGCAAAAAAATGAATAATATATCCAAATAAAACAGTTGCAGTATACTCTATCCATTTTATATTGATATACGGAGTAATAAGTTTTCGACAATATTAAGACATAATTAGAAAAATAAATTACAAACACTAACTTGTCAAAATCAAAAATAGGAACTGTGAGAGTGTACTGTACAAGTCTACAATACTAATAAACGCACAAATATGCATTGATTATCTCATTTAAGTAGATTTAGTAGCCTTATTGACGGTAACCTACACTCATCCAAAGACATGCAACCTGTGCTATAAATTAAAGTATTAGACCTGATTAAATTCTAGCTTTTTAGCTTGATAACTTAACTTATCTATATATATATATTATAAATGAGTCAACATATAATAACTAGTGAATTCATAACATGAGAGATGGCAAAATGTCATATTTTCTAGTCCTTTCCAAGTTGCTTGTCTTTCTTGTCGTTTTCGCGGGAGTAAATTCGTTATCAGTTCATGGCCAATCCGATGTGTTTGAAGTATCTGATTTTGGCGTTGACACTTCTGGAGATATATGGGATATAACCCAGGTAAATTATTTCCAAAATTTTACTTTCCGAAATTATTCTATCATTTACGATATTATGTGGACTACAAATAGTGTATGATATTATACAAGTCTTTTCTGTGTGTCTCTGTGATACATTTGGTGTGCAAGTTGGGGTACACAAACTTCGAATGGCCCTAGCTTTTTTTATGTCGGTCTTATTTTGAGATAAAGTTTACGGAGTAGGCAATTTTAAAAATACATTTGGATGTAATGAGTAGAGTAAAAGTGAAAATGTGTTGTGCGATAACTATGTTAAAAATTAGTATGTGTAAAAGTATCTTTTCAATATAAAGAGGAATTTACCTAAATAGCACTAAAACATAATGACTTTCCTTAAATAGCACTACATATGCTTTTTTCTCAATGTAGCACTTTTAGTCATTATCTATTAGTCATTATTCAGGTAAATGTTTGCTATCACTGGTCATTATGGACATTATAAAGTGCTATTTAGAGAAGAAAACAATCTAAATGCTATTTAGAGAAATGACTTAAGTTTTAGTGCTATTTAGTGCAAATATTTCTAAATAAAAAAGAAAAAGTTTTGTGGGAAGAGAGAGTATGATTTAGTTCCACTAGAGTGCCTTTCCATTTTAAAAAAAAGACTTTCTTATAATGTGTAACTGAAACTATATTTTAATATGAAAATAGGTTCGAAATTATAATAATTACTACGTATATATTTTAATGAACTAAATCAAATTTTCTATAAATTAATTGATAACAATACTGTACTCCCTCTCACTCCAAAACATTTTTCTCTTTCACTTATTTTCTGTCCCAGAAAGTCTTTCCATTTTCTCTTAAAAATTTATTTTTACTACTAACAATCTATTCATTACATCCTACTTTTACTCATCACATCTAGGGTAATTTTAAAAATCCAAAGAAAAAAATATTCCTCCTTTAATTTCCACAAAAATCAAAATAGAAAAATATTTTTAGAACGGAGAGAGTATTCCTTTATTAGATACTTCCTCCGTCTCGCAAAATATTTCTTGCTTAGGCTTGTGGAAGGAGAAGCTATTGAAGTTTGAACAATATGAAACGACGATAATTGAAACGGGTAGGATTCAGAAAATTAAATGTCAAAAATGAGTAGGGCCTAGAAGTTAGTTGGAATATATAGATGGGTTTCTCTCATGCCTTCTTATTTCAAAGGGCATGGATGCCCTCCCATTTAAATAGTGACATGTGGACAAATAATAAAGAGAGTTAAATGTATGGAACATTCCACAAAGTTTAATATGGAGCAAGGTTAATTTCAAAATTTGCAAAATGCTCCTTCTAAATGGCACACATTACTATGATCAATTATTTAATCCACCATTTATTATTTTTTCCTTCTTTAACAAATCACTCAAAATAAAAGTAAAATATTTATCTCCAAAATACTATCTCTGTCTTGGAGTATTTGTCCAGTTTTGTACAGTAATAATCTGATGTTGTATATCGGCATACTACAAGTATTTTTTGACATTATATATTGACATCATTGTTAAAACTTCTTATTTAGAAATGAAATGTGGGAACCCTATTTTGTATGTTCCCAATGTTTTACTCATAGTTTAGTCTTTATTAATACTTCGAAAATATAATCTGGCCATCTCAATCAAAACTTAATTATATTTAATTACTACCTTTGTCTATAAGTATTTGTATAATTTTAACTTTTTACAATAAAAATAGATAAACTTTAAACATTAATTAAATAAAATTTATATCAGATATTTATTCAAGAATAATTTTATTAGATAGATTTATCTTGTAGAATATTTTTTAGATATTATTTTATCAAACTAATATCCCAAATAAATTTTTATTATCGATTCTTTTTTACTAGAAAAAATCAAAGTTGGACAAATACTCAAGGACGAAGGTAGTGATTATGAATTGATAGACCAAATTTGTGAGCTTTACAAAATTCAAAGGGTTTTTTTACGAAATTGATTATAATTCAAAATTTGAAATTAATTATTTTTAATTTAAATTTTTTGGTAGTAGTAATTGCCAAAATTAAAATACTAATGAAATATTCTTCATTGGAATTTTTTGACAAAACTCTACAAAATATACAATCTTATGTTGAAACTTTGCTAAATGTTTTAGACAAAATTAACTTTTCGTAATGTTCAAAATGTAATTCAAACACCCAAATATTTTGTATGCGTGTGTATTCATTGTGTTGATCATTTGATGAAATAAAATAGACATGTCACCACTTGCTTTGTAAAACTTTTGATGTAGTTTTTGAATATATATAAGTTATATTTTTTTATTTCTATACGATTAAGTAAATATAATTATTTAGAAATATATACAATTTTTCACGTTTGAAATATAATGATAATTTTGGAAATATATACAATTTTTTGCAATATTGTTTTTTTAGATAAATTCGTATGGGATAATATTAAAATAAGTATGTACAAAAAATATTTTTATTTTAATTTTCAATAGAACCAAACATAATTATTATTATTATTATTATTACTATTGTGATAAAATATTTTTAATAAATTAAAAATTCAATTGAGATTTCATTTAAAATTTTTAAACAAGAAGAGAGGGTTTTGCAAATTTTGATATAGAGTGATGCGTGCCATTTAGAGGGAACATTTTGCAAATTTTGAAACTAACTATGCTCCATATTAAACTTTGTAGAATACTCTCATTATTATTTGTCCACATGTCACTATTAAATGGAAGGGCATCCATGCCCTTTGAAATCAGAAGGCATGGAAGAAAAACCATATATGAATTTAGTAATATATAAGAAACGTCACGACAAATTAAAATGTTTTATGAAACATGTAAAATGTGAAAGTTAAATAAATTGGAGAATGGAAGAAGTAAATAACAGAAGTAGACAAAAAAATTTAAATAATTGATCATACAAATATTTAATGTGAAATTCTTTTTTTGGAATAAAGTGAGTGTATTTGTTTACTAAAGTATATGGTGCCCTTAAAATGTAGTGTGGACCTGCAGGCATTAGAAAAGGCATGGAGGCGAGCGTGTGACACCAAAGACGGCATCGTTTTGATCCCAAGAGGCACTTTCTTGCTAAACACCGTGACCTTAGACGGTCCATGCAACGGCTCAACCACTTTGCTACTCAACGGCGACCTCAAGGCTCCCGTGGACCCCTCCGCCATGGGCGAAGGCTCCGAGGAGAACTGGGTGTTGTTGCGGAACGTTCAAGATTTGTTCGTCACGGGAAAGGGCTCCTTCGATGGCCAAGGCGCTAAGTCTTGGCTTCGAAACGAATGCAAACGTAAACTTGACTGCATATCTCTTCCCACGGTATGCACACATATAAATGCGTGTTATAATATAAAAATCGTTTTTTTTTTGGATCTCATAATTACAAGATTTAAATTTTGATTAAATTGGTTTTTTTATACCAAAAGGTCACAAGTTTTTTTTATAAAAAGGTCACACGTTGCACGTGATTCAACGCATTAGAACCTAAAAATATTTTTTGAGTCTACAATCACAAGTTTCAAACTTGAGTTTTTGGTTGAATTGTTTTTTTAATTTGGTAATATGTTTCTTCCATTTCATTTTTGTCCATTATTAGATATAATTTTTTAAAAAATAAGTTTTACGTAAAAAAATCTGATCTATCGAAACTACATTTTAAACTGAATTTTACTATATAAAATTTATTACGGAGTACAATATAACTACATATACTTTTTTTTTCATAATTTGTAGTCAAAATTTATAAATTTAACTAAAAAAGACAAACAAGAATTTCGTATGGGATACATTAAAGGGGAATTACTCAAATAACACTAAAACATAATGACTTTCCGTAAATAACATCATATGTGTTTTTTTTACAATGTAGCACTTTTAGTCATTATTCAAGTAAATGTTCGCCATCACTGGACATTATTCCTCCTTCTGGACATTATCAAGTCTTATTTAAGAAATAAAACAATTTAAGTGCTATTCAGGAAAATGACTTAAATTTTAGTGTTATTTAAAAGTGGACTAATGTTTCCCTCTACATTTTTTTTCATAAAAACTGCAGTCTTTGAACCTGGACAACGTAACCAATGCATTCATAGAAGGAATAACATCACTGGACAGCAAGTTCTTCCACATTGCAATTCGCAGGAGCGAGTCTATTGTGATCAAGAATGTGCTAATCCAAGCTCCCGAGTTTAGCCACAACACCGATGGAATCCATATCTCAAAATCAAACCACATAACCATCCACGATTCAGACATTGGCACGGGCGACGATTGCATCTCGTTGAGCCAGGGGAGCAGGAACATCCACATCTATCGGGTCCGATGCGGGCCCGGTCACGGCATCAGCATTGGCAGCCTCGGAAACCATGCCAATGAGGAGGACGTGACCGGGATCCTCGTCAATAACTGCACCTTCACAAACACGACCAATGGGGCTAGGATCAAAACATGGGCACCTTCTTTTCATTCTAGGGTTTCCAATCTCACGTTTGAAGACATCGCTCTGAACAACGTCAGCAACCCGATATTGATCGACCAACATTATTGCCCGAATTCGCATTGCGCCTCCAAGGGGGAGTCAGAAGTCCAGATCTCGTACGTCGATTTCCACAACTTCAAGGGCACGTCCCCGGACAACGTGTCGGTCACTCTCAATTGTAGCGCGTGCATGCCGTGCGAAGCCATCGTGCTAGGGGAGTTGGATATAAGCCACACTGGCGGAGGCCCTACAACATCGGCATGCGCAAACGTTCACGGAACATCATACGGAAGTGTATCTTCAATTGCTTGTGGTGATGAGTACATTGCCCCAACCGGAGATATTGGGATGGCCCCGCGTAGTGACATTGCCCCGAGTGACGACGAGGGTCATATCAATTCATGCAGTAATGCATCAATTGCTCCGAGCCCCGAAGATCAGATTCCCCCGAGCGGGGGAGAGCATGGGATAATCGAATGCAACGACGTAAAAGTCTCCCCTAGCGGTGAGGTTGGGACAATCCCATACGATGGGTTTCAAATTACCCCATGCTTGGAGGACGATGTTGTCCCACGAAATGGTGTTGGGACATCTTCGAGCATGGAGGATATATAAAAATTTCCCAAGTGAAGAAATTGTGAGTTATGAAGATGATAGTGTATCCAAAGAGAATAAGAAAAAGTGTAGGCTTGTGAAGATAAAGAAAATAGTTTATGTTCCCTTAATATTTTTTATTATGGGTTGATATTGTTTAGTTTGGTGTAATTTAACATTCTCCATCCCAATAGAATCCGTAGTAGTGGAGGGATAATTTGTCTTTGGCAATTAGCTAAGTTTCAAAGTTAAGGTCATATATAATTCTTCCCTATAAAAAGAATATATCAATTTTCAAAATGATGATTATGGTATCACTATAATATATGTCTATCAAATAATAATTCCATTTCGAATTATTTTGATAATCAATAACTAGAAGTAGACATGGCAATCGGGGTCCATCGGTTCGGTTGCGATTCGTATCTTTTCGGTTTGGGTCTATTCGGATATATGTTATAATCGATTCGGGTTGGTTCGGCTCCGCGGGATTTATTTAGTTTGTTCGGCTCCGAGTTGGTCTGGACCCAAACCATACCGTGTGTCCGTGTCCACCCCTAACGGAGGTACTATATGGTACATAAATACACGCGTATCAGTATAGTATGTAATTCTCATTTTACCATATGGTGTTTTTGTAAAATAGTAAAGATCACAAATAATATTACTCCGTAAAAACTACAATTTAGAAAATGCACTAAAAGTGTTTATATACTACTCCTTCCATCCCAAAAAGTCTTTCTTGTTTCATTTTTTGCGCATCCCATAAAACACTTCTATCCCGCCTTGAATGCCAAAAAAACTTTCAAAATAACTTCTACCCACAATAAAGAAGAAATGTTGTAAATTTTAGGCATTTTAGATGTCGGTAGAAGTATTTTATGGGATGCGCAAAAAATGAAACAGGAAAGACTTTTTGGGACGGATGAAGTATATAGGTTAATTTGATTTTGAAAATTTAGAAACTAATACGGGCAATGCTAGGGGTACCCCATATTGGTGTACCCCTAGCTTAATTCAACTAATACATATCTATCCGACGAGTACGGATACGAATGAAAACCAGAATTTTTTTTATTTGGTTAGCATTGATAATCTAAAATTGGAAAAGACAAGGAAGCCCCCATATTTTGAGAGCGAGCAGCGATTCGTTGAGGAGCACTGAAGTCCGTTTCTGTTTTCTTTTCCCCATTGAGTTTCTTATTAGCTGAGTCTATTCGAGCCGCCGCAAGTAGGCGACTGCAATTCATGTTTCTTCCTCCTTCATCCCAATGTTATTGTGATTTATGATTTAGAAACACTTCAATTTGACTTTGGAGATTCGATTGGTTTTTTTGAGAAAAGCAGACACCAAATTTTTTTTATAAATTAACCAGGGTTATTGAGATTTAGGGTATGTTTGGTTGGAGGTAGGTGAAATTTTTATTATCCGTTTCTTAAAACGGTTCTTGTTTTGACTTTGGGGCAAAATAAGGAAAGTGTAATTTTAGTTGACTTTCCAATTTTGCCCATGATTTGATGGGTCAAAGTAAGATGTGATAGTTTAGTTATTAGTGAAAATGTATGATGTGATAAGTAGGGTATGACAAAGTATGAGTAAAAGTGGTTTTTTAATAGAAAAAGAAAGTCTTTTAAGAAAAACAAAAAAAAATGAAAGATGAAGAGTTTTAAGAAATGGAGGGGATAGTAGGTAATTGAAGGTAGGTAAAGTAAGGTAATAAGTTAAAAATTGTGTTTGGATGTTTATTAGGTAACGTCAGGTAAGAAAAGAATAAAATTACTAAAATATCCTTGAGGTTGTTTTTATTTATTTGCAAAAAATTGAAGTGCAAAAGTGCAAAAGCAAAGCAGAACGAAAAAGCATAGCAGAACAAAACTCGAAGTGCAAAAGCAAAGCAGAACGAAAAAGTGAGGAAAAAAATCTGGAAATTGAGAAAAAGTGAAAATTGAAGTGCAAAAGTGAAAATTGCAGTGATGGGGAAGATTATGCAGTGAAAATTGCAACGAAGGGGGACATGAAGATTATGCAGTGAAAATTGCACGGAAGGGAAAAATTGCACTGAAAATTGAAAAGTGAAGTGCAAAAAAAAAATTTAAAATTGCAGCAAAGGGGTTATGGCGATCGGAATGTAATTGAAGAGCAGAGCATATGGAAAAAAAAGTGCAAATTGAACTATGGTGATCGAAATACCTGTGGAATGGCGATGGGACCGTAGGAAGATGGCGATTGGTTTTCCTGCGATCGGTCGAAGGGCAGCGCCTAGTTTATTACATTGATATTTGTGATATTTGGCCAAATTGGCGGTCATATAAAATGGATTGTTTAGAGGTAACCCTACCTCTCTCTACCTCCCCTACCTCATTTGGCCTATCTCAATTTTTATTACCAAATAAGGTAGAATATTAAATTTACCTCCCCTACCTCCAAACAAACATAGTGTTAGGGTTAAAACATTACCATCTTGGGGTTAAATGTTTATATACATAAACTAGGGTTATTGACATGATGGTTTGTGATTATTTTTAATTTATTTATTTTTGCGTTATTTACAATTTGTAAATTAATGATATTTAGAAAATGGAATATACATAGTGTTTATGTAGCACTGAAACAGAGACGGGGACGGAGACGAAACGAAATGGACCGCTATTTTGAAAAATGAAGAGACAAAACGCCTGGGACACTGCCAAATTTATACATACATACTCCCTCCGTCCCACTGTCTTTGTCCACTTTTGATTTTTGGAACTGTTCATCTAAGGACTTTGACTCATCAAATTCTCTAAATGTGTAAGCCTAAATATAGTCATGTGTGATATTGTTTGATTTGTCTTAACATATAGATTATTAATATATAATTTCTATAATTTTTTAATATACAAATTACAAGATAAAATGGATTAAAGAAGTGCATTGGATGGTGTGCCAAAAGGTAAGTGGACAAAGACAGTGGGACGGAGGGAATATGTATGTATGTATGTATGTATACATATACATACATATATACACATAAATATGGTCAAAAGTCATAACATAAGGTCCATGTCCTCAAGCATTGACCATATCATCATCTTCATCATTGTCACGAGCATTCTCTTCACCAGTCTTGACTCCAGTGAGATGACCCCTTACGGTAAGAGACATGCTTCGGTGAGATGACGCAAAACTCACCACATTACACTGCAAAGCTCACCAATGACCAATGAAAAGCTCACCTAGAAATAAAGCAAAGCTCACCACTTTGAACACTAAAACTCACCTTTTTTTAGTTTTGAAAATTAAAAAAATAATTAAAAATAAAATAGCAACACCGGTCAACCACCGGTCAACCGCGGCGGCGCGACGGAGACTGGCGGCGGCCGGTGGAGGTCGGCGGCGGCGGTCGGAGGCCAGCGGTGGTGGTGGTCGGCGGCGACCGGCGGTGGTCGGACTGGCGGCGGTGGTCGGCGGCGGCGGTGGCCGGTGATGGTCAATGGTCAATGGTCAAAGTCTAGTCAGCACCCCTTCCTTTGATTTTTTTTCAAAAAAAATATGGTGAACTTTGCCAAACAGTTTGGTGAGCTTTGTAATTGTCTTTGGTGAGCTTTGCAGTGGCCAGTGGTGAACTTTGCGTCATCTGACCAAAGAATGACATCTCACCGTAAGGTGTCATCTCACTGGAGTTTTCCCAGAACCTGTGGCAGTAAAATTCAGGACAGTTAAAGGATGAAGGGAGTGGAGATACTATTAGACTATTCACTTGAAAACTCAACATGTAGTAATATATGGGTGACACAAGTACCCTTATAAAAGTGAAAAGTGCAGATATCACTAGTAATGCAAAAAAAGATTAGCTCATTCGTCATCACAATTATCAGCACCTTAATTCAAACTAGTTGAGGTTGGTAGCATTAAACTTACGATTAACTCATTAATTGTCAGAGTATCATGCAAGTAGTTACTAGTTAGCTCATTACAGTGAAAAAAAACCCAGAGATGATTTACCTTGCAAGCCTACAAACATGACAACACTAGTCTTCCCTTTCTTTGGAGTGAATGAGGGTTTTCCAGGATCCAAAATCTTGCAAAGCTCTTTAAACACAGCCTAGACAAAATTAGGAAACAGTGAGAATTCCTTAACATCAAACGAGAACATGCATATGCAACCTTCATCAAGAACCAACCAAACAGCTATTAGGAAAATGAACCGAATGGAAGCTTCAGCATAAAAGCAGACAAGTATCTTGTATTTCGTCCCATAATTAAGTTTAGAGTTTTTTTGTGCCATTTATCCCTGAACTTTTTAAAAATTGAACGGAATACCCCCGAACTTTAAAACTGCACCATAGCCCCTGAACTTTTAAAATGTTGCGCCAATGGTCTCTCTGTGCCAAGTTTTAGAGTGCGCTAATCAAACACTCATCCAAAGTCATATATCATATGTGACTTCTGCAATATATCCTTCTCAAACATTATTTTCTATATTTTTAAACTCTTTAAACCCTAGATAATTATTCTCAATTTAATCGCCAGTAACCAAATTTGAAGGTCGGACATTAGTCGATAAAGCTCGTCATCAATCAATCAACTTCTTCATCAATCCATGACATCTTCATCAAGCTCCAACACATATATTGATGAACGTGTAATTAACGCACTCTCAAATCTAGCACAGAGCCGCAGAGGGACAGTTGGTACAACATTTTTTTAAAATTCAAGGGGCATTGGTGCATTTTTTAAAGTTTGGGGTCAATCCGAGCAATTTTCAAAACTTCAGGGGTAAATGGCACAAAAAATTCATTAAGTTTACACTACCCTTTTTGGATCTCCCACAATTAAGTTTACTCTTCAGTTTTTCGAGCAAAAAGAAACTTTATCTACAATTTTCTAACCCACCCACTCTATTTTTCTAACATGAACTTTCGCCTGCCCCGCATGGGTAGCTCCACTAGTTCAAAGAGAGTATTTCAAGTCTATATATCCTCGGGTCAAATTTTGACAAGGGAGTTATATTCTTTATTATACTCCGTCCGTTACTTAAAAAGGTTACTTTTAGCCAAATTAAAGAAAGTATAAATTTGGTTAAATTTCCAATTTTGCCTATAGTGAAAAGTAAAGGAGGAATCGACGAACCTGTTGGATGATCTTGCGCTTGTTATGTCTGGCGGCAAGGTCGTCGAGGTTGACGAGCCGCTTGACGTTAGCCTGCATATCGCCGACAAGCCTGAATTGAACATCCGATTGGAGAAGAGCGCGGGCGATCTCGTTCAGGCAATCGTTGAGAGCCTTCTGGTCGACGACCGTCGCGTTGCTCATCTGCTGGAGAGCATGCGAGATGCTCCCCCCTAACTCCGCTAACACCATCTCTACCGACGACGGCGCGTTGAAATTCAGCATCCGGCGATGAAGAATCGGATTAGGCTTCGACCTTCGCCGGAGACACGATCGGAATTTGGAAAATTCTCTGCAATTAGAGACTAATACGATCCTTTGTTTGATTTTTAGGGCATTTGAATTTATATTTAAAAAGGGGTCGAGGATGGAAGAAGCAATTGAGTCATTGCGTGCTATGGAATTCAATTACTAATAGGAAAGGGTACCGAATAAAAATGTAAAATATTATTTTCATGTTTTTATTCTTGAAATATAAATTAAAATGTATTTTCAATGTCAATCATAGTCTTGTGTATTACCAAAAACTATAGTAAAATTCTCACGTACACTCAATAGTACCACACAAACTTTTATTTAGCTAATCGAATATGAATAAATTCTAATTTGATTTGATACGATCTGACTTTAATAGGGTTATATTTAAAATTATTTTTAATCTAATCAGATTTTAATAAAAATAAGTTGAGAAAAACATGGCTTTAGCGTATATTTGTAGTTTCAACGTATTTTTTGCCTCTTTATTTATTAAAGAAAAAGTTCAAGTAAATACTCCTTGAAATTTGTAATTTTATGATCTTACTTTCAAATCTATTTATTTACGGAGAATGCTAGGGTGCCACCACATGGGTGCACCCATGCTTCACACAGATAAATACAGACGATAATTGTCCACAGACAATTATCGTCTGTGTTTGTCTTTGTGAAACATGGATGCACCCATGATAGCACTCATGTGATGGCACCCTAGCATGGTCTTTTATTTACTCTGTCACTCCTAAAAAATGTTCTATTTATACCTTCACTTCAGGTTGGCTTATCAACTCATTTTTTAATTCATGTGTGATTGAAAAGTTAATATAGATGCTTAGATAGTTGATGAGTTGTATTTTTTATTTGAAATAAAGATTACTCTTTATATTCGACACATAGACTTTCTCGATGAGAACCAGGCGGTGAGCAGTCAGATTTGCTAGAACAATTATAGACTAGACCGGATGGATAATTACTACTCACTCTCTCTCAAAAAACATGTCTCGTTTTGACTTTTTTCGGTCAAACAATAAAACTCTTTGAACATAAATTAAACATAATCTAAATAAAGAAATGTTATTAAAATTTGAAATATCATAACAATATCCTAAGATGAATTCAATTATATTAAATTTATATTATAACTCAATATACTCTATCTCACAATTTATAATTAAAACGTATCACTGTTTGACCGAAAAAAGTCAAAATGGGAAGTGTTTTCTTGAAAAGAGAGAGTAACATCTAATTTTGTAAGAGTAAGAGATTGAAGCTTCCAAACAAAAAGTTTGAGTTCGGTTGGAAGACAATCCATTGGATCGGTAGAGGGAGTTGAGCCGCCATCTTGATCCGCTATTGGGAAGAAGAAGAAGAACCCTAGCCGATTTTTTTTCTTTCTCTGGTTATCGAGTGTGTTAGAGAAGAGATCGAGAGAAACGTAAGCTCTAATACCATGTTGAATAATAAGATAATTGATTTACTCAAAGAAATAAGGAGTATACCAGAGTGTATGTATAGAAAGAGATACTGACAGAATGAGGATTAAATCTAGAGAAATTTACTTAAATAGCACTAAAACATAAATAATGAATTTCCCTAAGTAGCACTACATGTGTTTTCTTCCCAATGTAGCATTTTTAGTCATTATACATTAGTCATTATTCAAGAAAATATTTGTCATCACTGGACATTATTAAGTGCTATTTCGAAAATAAAACAGTTTCAGTACTATTTAGAAAAATGACTTAAGTTTTAGTGTTATTTAGTGCAAATATTTCTTAAATTTAATATAGAATTTAACTAAGATAAGAAGACTGCCATAACTAAGAGTATTACTTTAAGTATTCTCTAGCAATCTCTTTGTTTAGAAAGAAACCTCTTGTTTTATACACATACCCATCACACATGTAGCTTGCATCTTCCATTTTCAATACCTAACTATATATCATCTTTGTTTAACTCTCAAAAATTATTCTCCCAAATTGCAAAATGTAAGGTAACTTAGGAGATATATAGCTCTTTAACCAAAATTAGAATTAGATGATTCCAACTCTCTGCTTGATAGTCAGGTGGTTGTGATATCAATAATTCTTTCTAATTGATAATAAAAAATTAAGGACTGAACCTTTTTGTTATGAACCAATTTTGTACTTTGAATCTTTTTTGTGATGTTGCAATTTTAATTTATTCTCATGACAAGTAATAAACATACTCCTTTTGTCTAAGTATTTTTGTTCTGTTTCACTTTTTCGAATCAAATGTAGCAAAATTTACTCATGAATTAGTCTCAATTTGGATTGCATGTGAATATAATAAATTCCAATTTTAAAAGTTCTCACCAAGATAAATATAATGAAATAATTTTTATGTTGATATATACTCCATCCGTTCCTTAAAATCATTTCCATTTTGACTTTGGGCTAAAATAAGGAAAGTGTAATTTTGGTTAACTTTCCAATTTTGCTTTTGATGTAATGACTAAAAATAAGATGTGATATTTGGGTTATTAGTGAAAAAATATGATGTGATAGGTAGGGTAGAAAAAAAGTAGGGATAAAAGTGGTTTTTTAATAAATAATGAAAGTGTTTTTGGGAATTGAAAAAAAACAAAAGGGGTAGAATTTTATGGAAGGGATGAAGTATTACGCAATAGGGAAGTATTATCTTTAATTTTATAATCAAATTTAATTTTGACATATTAAAAAAATATTTTGTTCCAGTGCCACGCGAGGATCGGATGAAATTTCTAGTTGGTATACATTGAGGATAAATATAAAAGTTGGAGAAATTTACTTAAATAACACTAAAATATAATGACTTTTCTTAAATAGCACTACAATGTGTTTTTCTTGCTAGTATAGCACTTTTAGTCAATATGCATTAATTATTATTCAAATAAATATTTGTCATCACTGAATATTATTAAGTGTTATTAAGAGAATAAAACAATTTAAATGTTATCTAGAGAAATGAGTGTTATTTAAAAGGAGTGGGTGAAACAAATTCTTTGAATAGAATCAATTGATTATCTCATTCTAACACATTGAAAATTTGAAACAAAACAAAACCAATGACGTACAAGATATCAACCCCTCCGTACTCTAGCGGCAGCCTCCGTGAGCAACGCCGCCGTTCCTCCTCTTAGGAGGAGTGTTTTCCGGCACCATTGCCGAAGACGCCGAAGAACAATCCGGCGAGGCCGTCCTCTTCTTCGATGTGATCCTAACTGGCTCCGGCTCCCCGGAGTTGATCCTCAGTGGGAAATTGAGCAGGGCCCGCGATCCGCGCATGCGGAACGCCGCCCTGTCGTAAGCCACCGCCGCATCCTCCGCGGTCTCGTAGGTCCCGAGCCACACCCGGGCGCCGTTCTTCGCCGGGTCCCGTATCTCGGCGGCGAACTTCCCCCAAGGGCGCCTCCTCACGCCCCTGTAGTTCTTCCGCGTTTCCGCCGCCGCAGCAGGCGGCGACGGCGGCGCCTGCACCGCCGTGAAGTCCAAAATCAAGGGAAAATCTCGGAAGCCCGTACCGGGCACGGCAGCCGCCTCCGTTACCGGAGGCGGAAACCGCCACCGTCCCGTCCAACTCTCATCCGAGCAACCGGGCGGGATTTCGGGGGGGATTTCGAAATCATCCATCAGCTGTTGCCGAATGGATTCAAGAACCTTGAGATCAGACATGAACTGGGCATCTTCCAACAACATTTTTTAAAAGAATTTGGGGTTATAAAATAATTAGACTGTTGTTTAATTTATTTGGAGGAAGAGAGAGGGGATTTGATCTTATCTTCTGCAGGAAAAAGAAACATTTATATGGGGAGTATAAATAAATATATATGCGTTCAAATATGTAGGGCGAAATGGATGAGACAGGTGAGGGTTCCATTCCATGCAGTTTCGGAAAGGTTGACGGAAATCGCACGTTGTTTACCGCACGTGCGTGTGGTTGGTCATAGTTTGAGACTAATTTTGGGCCCTTACTCTTTGTTGGATTAAGTTATTTGTAGGGAGACTAAAATAAAATATTTATATTTTTGTTCTTAAAATTCATTTATATTATCAAATATGGTCATATACATTAAAAAAGTACAGTAATGTGCAAATATATGGTGTCACATTACCACAGTGTAAACTCCTATTCGAAAAAAAACATAAGTCTTATGTTGGTATTTTTCTCTATGTCTTAGTCCTATTTAGAGTGATTTCTATTATTTGTATATATAAAAACTTGTACTCCCTCTGTCCCTTAAAGTCGGTCTCTTATTGACTTTTTGAGAAATTAAGAGAGGGATATTTTGGTGTTGAATTTTTAAAAATACCCATGATATGATGGGTAAAAGTAAGATTTGATTGATAGATTAATAGTAAAAAGATATGATGTGATAGGTAGAATATAAAAAGGTAATGTGTGAAAGTGGTTTTTTAATAGATAAGGAAAGGAGCTAGTAAGACAAGAAAGAAAAGGAAAGGGAAGGAGTTTAAGAGACAGAGGATGTATCTTATTTTGTATACTAAATGCATGCACTGACGTTTTGTGATAGTCTGATACTAGTGTGATGGTGTACATTGAAAAAACATGCCAGTACAAATTTTTTAAAGTGAACTAACATTTTATGCTAGTGTAAATTGTTAAAATGCCAGTGTATTTCTTTAGGTTACACTAAAGTGTACTCCTAGCATGGTTGCTCTTTTTTTACCATATCTATACACAACAACAACAACAACAACCCAGTTAAATCTCACAAGAGTAGGGTCTGGAGAGCGTGTGTGTACGCAGACCTTACCCCTACTCGAAATTAGAGAGGCTGTTTCCAAAGAGACCCCCGACTCAACGTCGAAAGTTGCATTAGTTGACTAATTGCTACTTCATTAATTAAAGAAGCACAAACAGTTTAGAGATCCATTTTGATTTATTCCATCACACCCAAAGCCAAAAAATGGTGTCAAAGTTGATGAACGCATTTACAGATATTTCATATTTTATTGACATCGAAGACAAACATAAAAAATATTTGTAGACATTTGACACCAACAAAGAAATACAGATAAAAGTTGTAGGGTGGGGTTCCCATGACATTGGAATCCAATGTCATAAGATGACCCAGGGGCGCACCGGTGTCCCGTTCGTAAAATTGACGGTTACTACCCTCCTAACATCCCCGGTAAACCCCCCCACCCTACCCCGATCCGAACACACCTCCCTACCCCCGTCAATTGCAGCCCACAAGTAGATTTTGACTTTGGAGTCAAAATTTGACTCCAAAGTCAAAATCAACTTGTGGGCTGCAATTGACGGGGGTAGGGAGGTGTGTTCGGGTCGGGGCAGGGTGGGGGGTGATGGGTGTATTTCACCCAAGACCGGTCAAAGGAGAAGGCCAAATCTTTGACCGGTCAATCTCGAAAGTTTCGGAAGGGAGACTTAAATCGTCAGCAAAACGATATGTGATCGGCCAAAATTTGACCGGTACACTTCACAAAAAAGTATACCGGTCAAACTACGCTATCATCCTATTTATTCCAGACTTCGATGAATTCACCTCTCGGAGATTACCCGGTGTAGTTTCTGAGGTTGGAAAGTGTCGGCAGAGGAGAATCTACGAGGGCTCGGCGTGTAGCGACCCGTGTCAGTAGAGGACGACTGGAGATTCTGAAGAATCCATCCAAGGCACTACCTGACAAAGGGAATAATCCCCCTCACAAGGCGACAAGGTAGCTAAGAAACGAGGCCCATCACCTCTCAACATCCGAGACACGTGCCTCCACGTGGGCGCACGTGGTCCTGTCCCCTTAGCTTAGTATAAATACTCATGTAAACCTCAGAAAGGGGGATCGGAATTCATTCTCTCTAAACTCCCTTGTAAAAGCACCCGTGCATTCTCCGTTATAATACAAATTGGGCTACAGGTGTTCCACCTAAAGTCCTACCGGTCGATCCGTGTGTTTTTACCTTTCTTACCTTGCTCAGTCGAACAAACTATTCTAGACCCGGTCTATTATAGTTTGACCGGTCAAGTAATTTACACCATCATTTTTGGCGCCGACCGTGGGACCGTTAAGGTTTCTTCTCCTAAACACAAACCTACCCACCAAAACACCACTCGAAATGTCTTCCAGCCAACAAATCAACGCTACTTCCGCTCAGGTGCAGGCCACCAACGAGGGAGCCAGCATCCCTGTGGCTGCTACCATACTGGTCATTTCAGCCCCTGTGTTGCCTCTGGGTCTGAGCTCTGTCCCGACGGCCAGCGTGATCAGTCCCTTCGTGACCCCCGTCCCTTCCGCTGGACCGAGGGTAACGTTCCCACCAAGCATGACTCAGTTCATGAATGACCCAGCCAACCTACAAGCCATCCAGGGCTTTGGCCAGGTCATGGCCATGTGCCAGCAGAACGGGGGGATGCCTTTCCTCTCTGGTATGTTCCCATTCGCCCTTCCAGGCGCGGGGACCATGCCTCTACAAGCTCCAATGGCGGTGACGTCGTTCCAGACGCCGATGTCGCAACCATCACCTTTCCAACCCCAGCTGGTCAGCACCATGGCCCCTGTCAACTTGGCCGGTGCACTTAACGCTGTAGGGCCGTCGCGTCCCCCGCAAGCTACGGATCCGCAGATCACTCCTGATGGTCACTGCGTCTCGATTGAGAGCGATGACGGTGAGTGGGACATCCCGAGGGCCCACAAGAAGAAGAAAGGAAAAAACATCCGGCCGGCGACCTCCCGAAACTCCGCCTTCGAAAGGCTGGGGGATAGGGAGGAAGGCTAGAGGAAGTCAGCCAAGCAGAGGCTGGGGCAGAGTGTTGCCCACGTCAGCGCATTCGCCCGGCTAGGCGAGGTGCGGGAGGCCGAGCCTGCCCGCACACGGCGCTCCCGGTCTAACCGGCAGGAGCCAGCAAGGACGGGGGCCTCCCACCAGGAAGGGGAGGCAGAAAGCCAGCCCAGGTTACCGGTGGCGAACCGGTTAACCATCCCAAACGATCGCGTCCAGCAGATGGAGGCAAAGCTGGAAAGGCTGGAAAAGAAGGTCGGGGAGAAGAATGACCGGGACAAACCCCTGGCAAGGTCCCCGTTCACCACAAGGGTCCATCTGACACCTTTCCCGCGAAAGGTCAAGATCGACGCCCCCAGATTCACCGGGAAGGAAGATCCGGAAATCCACCTGGACTCCTTCAACCAGAGTGCGACCATAACGGTTGCACCGATGAAGAAAAGTGCCTACTTTTCTTCCAAACCTTGCGGAACCGAGCCACTGAATGGTTCAATAAGCTTCGCCCGGGAAGCATTGACTCGTTCAGTGATTTGGCCTCAAAATTCAAGGCCAAGTTCCAGGAGAATTGTACTAAGAGGAAGAAGTTCACCTATCTTAGTACAGCCGGGCAGAGGGAGTCTGAGAACCTCACTCAGTTCCTTACCCGGTGGAAGGAAGAGGTAGACAAGGTGGAAGAGATGGATGACAAGACCGTCCTCTCCCTCCTCTTGAATGGCTTGCGTGCTGGGGAACTATACAAGGAGTTCTGCCGGAAACCCCCAGCCAC